AGATTCTAACCCCACTCGAATTGTGTGACTGTTGTGTTTTTTAATAATGATGTATTATCTTTATGTTAGAAATTGTTTGTCTTCCCCCAGTTTTTTTGAACTGTGAGCCGCCCTGAGTCCCCCCAGGGACAAGGGCGGCATACAAATAAAGGGAAAATGAAAAATGAAATATATGATTCTCTTTGGGGGATGACACATTCTGGTAATGTTTCCAGACCAACTCTTCACTTTTTTCTCTATATAAATGATATATGCAAACTGTTTTTTTTTGGTAAAGTATCCTGAATTATTTTTAAAAAAAAAAATTTGTGTTATATTAAGGTCATGTTCAATATATGTAACTCCCTCTCTCCTCCCCCCACAACCTCTATTTTGTCTTCAGGGCTTGCTCATCTTATAGGATCACCCCTTCTTCGCGCGTACATGCATGGCTTCTTCATGGACATACGATTGTATCATAAGGTATGTGGGCTTGGCCAAAAAAGTTGGGCTAGCTCCCTTTCTTATACAGCACCATTTTTCAGGCAGGCTTTTCGTTGAATGGACACGATGACTTTTAATTAGTTGGCTGCCGTGAGTTTCATTTCGTTGCCATCTTTCAGCAACGTTTAATTAGTACATGGCCTGATTTTTTTTTTTATTTTTATTTTAGTTTAACTCTCATTCTTGGTAGCAATCCTGAATATAAAATCCAGCAAATAAGAATGTTAAATCAAATGGGGGAAAAAAATTATGCAATGATTTATGATTTCTTCCTTTTTTTTCCTCCCCTGTGCCTGCAGGTTAAAACGATGGTAAATCCTTTCGCCTATGAGGAATACAGAAGGGAGAAAATTAGACAGAAAATAGAAGAAACACGGGCACAAAGAGTGCAGCTAAAGGTAAAGGTGAAGTTTGGTTCATTCAGGATAGGCTCATCAAAGAGACAGAATGAAAGAGAGAGTCCCTGAGATAAGCAGTACATTTGGGGTGTTTTAGAGTTCTTATGGGACACGGTGGCTCAGTGGCTAAGACGCTGCGCTTGTTGATCAGAAAATGTCGGCAGTTCAACGGTTCGAATCCCTAGCACCAGGTAACGGAGTGGGCTCCAGTTATTTGTCCCAGCTTCTGCCAACCTAGCAGTTCAAAAGCATGTAAAAATGCAAGTAGAAAAATAGGGACCACATTTGGTGGGAAGGTAACACCGCTCCATGCGCCTTCGTCATTTATTCATGCTGGCCACATGACCACAAAGATGTCTTCGGGTGGCAATGGCTCTTTGGCTTTGAAACAGAGGTAAGCACTGCCCCCTAGAGTCGGGAACGACTAGCACATATGTGCGTGGGAATCTTTACCTTTACTTAGAGTTCTTACATCTGAAAGGAAAGGAGAGCGACTTCATCTGCTACAGAGCTCTTCCCTTTGCTAGGCATAAACACATCTCAAAGGGCATAACTGGCATTGACTTGACTATCGGCAGGAATCCCTGTTCTTCTTCCCCCTTTTTAGGATTCTGAAAAAAGGCCGCTCTTGATGGGGGAATTAAGTTAGCCCCTATGTAGATGAGGGTTTCCCGATGAGAAATGATGTTTGAACCAGGTGATAAGTCAGCACCCTGAATTTTACTTTGTGCTAGCTCGGCAAAATGTCAGTGGTTGTAATATGAATATTATTGTATACCCAGCAACAGCCTGTGCTGTGCCCTGATTGGCTGGGACGCAGCACAGCCTGTGATTGGATAATAAAGTGACAGTTAATGACAGTTGCTTGTGCCTGAGAGTATAAATACCGTAACCGTTGAAACGGAATCTGAATCGCTGTCATCTGAAATAAAGATCTTGCTCTCTGAATCCATGGCTCCTGCGTCTTCCCTCACAATAAATATGAAAAAGATGCCACTGCTTGATGAAACAGAGATATAGGAAACTAAAAAGATCCAGTGGTCCATCTGCCCTTTTGAGTTTCCTTAAGAGTCTCCTTAATTTTTAAAAGTGTATTCCTCAAATCAGTAGCAAAGTTTGAAGTCTTTCTTTTGGCTTCTTTCCAAATCATGCATTGCTCCGTTGTGAAAACAAGTGTGAGCCTGCTCTTCCTTAAGCTACTGGTAAAATCAGAAGTCCTTGGCTATCTCTAGCGATTCCTGATGTTTTCTATTGAAACCTCTGGAACAATTTGGAATTTCTCGAATTATCCAAGAAATCTGTGTAGATGCAACTGGAGCTTGCTTTTCACTTAATCATATTCCAAATCATTCTATATCCCACACAATTACTGTCTGTCTACTGTGATTCATATATTAAATCAGCAAATACATTGAAGGTGCCAGGTTCCGTGCTTAAGAGATTCCATGCTTGTTTTTATTCACTAGAAACTTCCCAAAGTTAATAAAGAACTTGCACTGAAGCTGATTGAGGAGGGGGAAGAGGAACTACAAAATGCTCGGAAGAAGAAACAGAAGGTAGGTTGCTGTCAGCACCTCTCCATTAAATAATTAGGAAAGAAAGACCACGAGACTCCATGTGTGGAAATCAAGTGTACTTTTACTAATTAAAAATGATTAAAGGCATAGCGAAGCGAAATCTGAATATTTAGGCGCGAAAGCGATTGATATATAGAAGAGCCCATTCCCCACCCCTTGGCATCACAGTTACAGTCCAATCATAATTCTCCCAAGTGTCAGGTGCAAGCTAAATTCACAAGGCCTCTCAAACATGGAACGTCGGTGCCATTCGTCCTGGTGGGAAACTCCCATGCATGCG